ATGCGCCCCCCTCAAGGGGTCTAAGGCTGAATGGGTGCTTCTGACTCTGCCTGTCACCTGCCTCATCCTTGGCATGGGCTGAAAACCCCCGACCAGCTGCTGCCTCCCCCCCGCCCCCCGCAGTAGGGAAAGAGGAAGAGAAAGGAAGTCTCCTTCGGCGCATTTGACATGTCATGGGAAACCTCTCCAGGCTGGCCCCACCCGCGGCGGCCCTCCGGCCCCGGGTCCCCGAAAGAGGCCGTCGACCTCCGCCAGCCCTGCCCTGGAGTGCACTAATTGGGCTGAGCGGGGCCTGGCCCACCTCTCGTAACCTATATATAGAAACTGGGCTGCTCATTAAAAGACGGGAATTCCAGGGCAGATGGAAGGAATTCTTGGAAACCGCACGCCAAGATGAATGGAGCAGAGGCCCCTTGCCAGAAAAGCCGGGGCCGTGCCGGTGGCCGAAAGGCTACAGGCGTCGGAAGGGTGGCCGCTTGGAGCCGAAAGATGCACACCCAAAGACTGGGCGGGGGGGATTCTTGGAGGACCATGGGAGCTGTTGCTGGGGGTCTGCCCGTTCTGGCCATGGGGCAACCTGGCAGGGCAGACAGACTTTGAATCTGCCTGACCAGGGGAGCATCTCAGGAGTCCCCCTCTCTCCCGGAAGTGGGGGCACATGGATGAGAGGATGGGCCTCTGCTGGGGTGCCCCCCGGCCCATAGGGCTCCCTCCCTCGTGGTTTGTAGAACTTATTTCAAGGGAGATGTATCTGTCCCTTCAAGCTGAGCTGGAGGAATGTGGGGCAGTCTCTGCTCCTTTGCACGGTTGTTCCTTAAGAGTTCTGATTCTTTCTGACTGATGCTTTTAAGGATGATGTAAATCAGGGCTTCTCAACCTTGGCAGCTTGAAGAGGCGTGGACTTCAACTCCCAGAATTCCCCAGCCAGCAAGGGGAACGAAATGGAAACAAGGGGGAGGGCATTCAGCATCATGGCAGCTTCTTGAAGGGGGAAGAGGTCAAAAAAGTCAAGAGGGTAATTGTGAACATGCAATCAAACCCCATCCCTTTTTTACATCTCGTCATGGCCGCTATTTTGACTTTTTTGATCACCCGCCCCCCCACAGAGAACCCCTGCCCCCATTGTCCCAATTCAAGTTAGAATATTATAGAATATATATAATAGCATAAGAAGTTTCCATGCCTTATGAAAACCTTGAAGGAACTTTGCCAGTGTACACACAATCAGGACAAGAGACAAGCTTTCCTGGAGAAGCAGCCCATGAATTCCCTCCGTGCCAATTTTTATGATTTTTCATGGGACACTCTGACTAGCTCTAAAGTGAGAAAAATACAAAAGAAGGAAGAAGGAAAGAAGGAAGGAAGGAAGGAAGGAAGGAAGGAAGGAAGGAAGGAAGGAAGGA